CCTTGTATCCGTACCTCAGTTGTTCAAGCCAGTCCGTCGCTGGAATGCAACCATGCGTATATCTCCGGAGGCTGTGACTGCGGTTGATGATGTCTGGTCATAGCGGCCCATCATCCTTCATGGTGTCCTGATTAGGTAGGTACGTACGTACGTAGGCTGGTAGGTAAAAGAACAGATGACCCCCGGATGACAGTCAGTGATTGTGACGCAAGTGTCAAAAACAAACGTGCAACTGCAACAACCGCTCGAGCTACCGCTTGTTGAAACAACCTGACAACTGCGCCTGGTACCGCGGCGTTCACTCAAATATGAAGAAGGCAGGCATCGCCTACCCGGGGCGCGCGGGGGGGGCAGAGGCGTCTGAGACGTACGGAATCATTCATAATCCGCTGGGTTGGTTCTACACCGACACTTGCACGAGTAAAGAAAGGGTATTTCGAGTCAGCCAAAAGTCCTGATGGCGAATCGCCGTCAAAATGAAGATTCTATTCCTTCTCTTTTTCTTTTCTTTCTGCTTTGCTCATGAGTGCCTAGACTAGACCTGCGTAACTCGCTCTAGAGCTTGTTGTCAAGTCTTGAAGCTGTTGTCATTATTATGGCCAACCGCTCGGAATTGGGTCTCAACGTTTGATTGTGTGTTCATTACCCCGGCTTCGGCTTGCCTTATCGAAAGCCAACCAGCTCTCCTATCTGACACAGGTACGTGCCTTTTCGACCACAGCATTAGAACTGTACCTAGGTAGGTGCCTGCCTACCTGGTGATGGGTAGGTAGGTACCCAAGTACGTGGCGTAGCTACCTACCTACCCATCTACTCCTTACGTACCTCAGTAGCCAGCCTGTGCCTATCCCATGCGTCAGAACCTTCCACAACATCAAGCCGGGGCCAGCTCTAGCTTACCTCACCACCATCCGTGCTCTCAATCTTGAGAAGTCGCGCCCCACTAGCCAATGTCCAAAGCCTGTGAATCCCCCTCCAGTGACAGTTCGATTACATACGCCCGTCCGAACGTGCTGAAGCTTCTGGAAGTTAACCGCCTTCACTGACCCATCGTCGAGCTGCGGCACCATCTCTGCTTGACATGAAATAACTCTACCACCCACCTCTATTCTCCCTGAACGCGTTGTTCTCAAGGAAACATGTTTCCCACCTTCACAGGCAACTCCCGACGCCCCCGGAACGTGAACCTCAGCGGCCAGAACCTGAACCCATTCGCCGCCTCGTCATGGACTCCTGCCGCCGGTAGCGGCTCGGGAGCGTCCAAAACCGTCTCCAATGCTCAGGCCGAACGAGCTCAGAGGCAACAGGATCGAGATAGGCTGAAGGCGGCAAGCAAGATCCAGAAGACGTGGAGGGGCCACAGGGTCAGAAGGCGACTTCGAGACTCTCGTCGCGAGGACTTCGACGCTCTGTACATGAACAACTCGCATTTGGACACACAGCAGAGGCTATCAACCGCCTTACCACTGCTGATAACCACCTTCCAGTCCAACCACGGCAAGGACCTCCAACGCCTCGTTTGCTTCTCTAGGGAGCTGATTACGACCAACCTTGAGTGCCTCGCCCCCGCCACTCTTGCTCCTTCTCGACTGGCGCGATTCGTACAAATACTTGTCGAGGCTCTGGACGTCCAAACACGGAAAAGGTTTCCATCCACATATCCACCTATCCACCTATGATCGATAATGGCTGACAACTTCTCCAGGCAAGAAACCGACGATATTCAACTCCTCGTGGACCTCCTAACGCACATCGTAAACGTTGCCCCCGAGTCTTTATCGAAGTCATTCCGGCAATATTATACCGTGCTGGCAGAATTATGTGGAATACTCGGCGCGGACACGGTGGCTCTGGAGGCTACGTCGAGGGCTGTTCTTGTGCCTCTGCGGGCAAAATCCGCCGACGGTTATCTGTTGGCAGCCTACGAAGCATTCGCCTTGTCGTTCCTGACTCGACCTGACCTGTGTATTGTCGAGGAACACGCCCCCATAATCTCTCAGAACCTTGACTCTGACAAACTTGCATCGGCAATCGCTACGGCATACAGCAATGGACGGATACACGGTGTTGGTCGGGACGGTCAGGTCTGGCTTTTGGCGCATTTTATCGGCTTACATCAGACGACGGACACTAAACACCAAGGGCTGAAGCATTTGGACGCACTTCACATCCAACTCTCGAGCTTATCCACAGAGATCAGCCTCAGACTTTCTGTAAAACCGGCCCACTCTACATCACCAAACGCAGACTCAAACAGTATCGAAGAAGCCTTGATCCGGCCACTACCTGGCTATGTCACCCAGCAGCTTTCGTCGCTAGTCGATAGAGATGGCATCTCCGCGCTGCTGGCCGAGCTTACTACGTGAGTGTGCCACCAACCCCTTCTAATCTACACTTCTGACACTCTTTAGTCACTTTGGCTCTCAGTCATCAAGTCACGAGTTCCAGACCGCAAGCCTACTGTCTGGCTATATTCTCACTCTTCTCCGGTGTTTCCCCAGTCGGGGCGATGATATCCGTATGCGTCTTTTCTTAGGCGATGTCAGATCGAGCACAGGCAGCTTGCCAACGATTAAGTTTCTATGGCAAGCCATGGGCCAAACAAGCATCTACAACAAAATTTTGCAGGATTCGGCATCCGTCACAGGTTTGCTACGGGACTACCTCTCAAAATCTCCGAGGTCAAACGACTCCCAAGAACCGGAATGGAGGCTAGTTCTGCTGTTCCTTGAACTCTACATTTTCATCTTACGTCTGAGTGATGACGAAGACTTTTTCAGCAGCATTCACCCAGGAATCATGCAGGGCGAAGGGCAAATGTCTCGGTTACGGTCGTGCGGGCTCTCTCTCTCCGAGGTGAAGAATCTCACAATTGTGCTCAAACATCTGGCTTTCACACTGCATTACAATGCAACCGATATCCTACAGAGTGTCCAGCAATCCGAGCCGATATCGATGAGCCAGCTCGAGTCCTACTTCGGAAGTAGCCACGCTGCAAAATCGTCCAAAGATACCCGAAGCCAGGGATCCCGAGCCAACGCAGCCGATACCAGACTTGACCTCGGTAGCCTTCGCAGTATCGTCACAACGGCCTTGCGACTTGTGTATGAACGGGACTCTCGGCGTCCTTTCTTGCCTCGAGATCATTGGCTCATGACCTCGAAATTCGACATGGAGGGCTTTGTCAGCGCCGTCGTGGCAGAGCAAGAGCGGCAGAACGAAGTATCTGATTCGAGCGACGAAGAAGATGACGACGTTGAGGAAGATGCGGCCATGGGTGGACTGAACGACGGTCTCATCCACACCATGGCTGGACAACGAGTCTCTCGACACGCGCAAATTGAAAAGCTTCGGTCCCAGCAACGCAAGGCGCAGCGGGATCGCTTGCTGGCCGTCATCGGGCCAAAGCTGGAGATCTTGAGACACATGCCTTTCGTCATTCCTTTCGACACTCGTGTTCAGATCTTTAGACAATTTGTGTACCTCGACAAGCACAAGCGCAGGGAAGGCATGGATGCCGACCAGTGGAGAATGACCATGCTTCATAATCCCCTGCGTCCTCCTGGAATGGGTCCGACTGGACGGCACCATGGCAAAATCAGGCGAGGCCAGGTCTTCCAAGACGCGTTTGAGCAATTCTATGAGCTAGGGGAAGGCCTGAAGGAGCCCATACAGATCCAGTTTGTCGATCAGTTCGATACAGTGGAAGCAGGAATCGATGGCGGCGGTGTTACAAAGGAATTCCTGACTAGCGTCACAACGGAGGCTTTTGGGCAGAGGGACGGAATCTCACTATTCACGGCCAACAGTCAAGGCCTCCTATACCCCAACCCAACAGCTATGGATGAGCTCAGGGAAGCCTTGAGACGAGCCGGAGTTCCTGAACGCAGTGCAGAGTGGCAAGATGAGGTGCAAGATCTGCTTCGGAAATTCGAGTTCCTCGGTCGAATCATCGGGAAATGCATGTACGAAGGAATCCTCGTCGACATTGCGTTTGCCGGGTTTTTCCTCCTGAAGTGGATTTCGGGCCAGACTGGAGAGAACAGCTACCGTGGCAATGTCAACGATTTAAGAGACATGGACGAGGAACTCTACCAAGGCATGCTACGTCTGAAGAACTACAAGGAGAACGTGGCGGATCTGGCGCTGGATTTTACCATCAATGACCAGGTCTCGCTGCCCGGGGAACCCGTGCGTACTATGACTCGGAACCTGATCCCCAACGGCGAAAACGTCACTGTCACCAACGACAACCGGCTCCTCTACATATCCTACGTCGCCCGCCACCGCCTCGTAGCCCAACCTGCCCAGCAGACGGCCGCATTCCTCCGCGGTCTCCGCTCCATCATCGCCCCGTCATGGCTCTCAATGTTCAATCAGAACGAACTACAGCGTCTCGTTGGCGGAGATAGCTCCGAGATCGACATTGAAGACCTCAGGAGAAACACAATTTACTCGGGTTTGTACGAAGTGGGGGACGACGGACTGGAGCACCCGACGGTGCAGCTATTCTGGAAGGTCATGGCCGACTTTTCGGATCGGGAGCGGCGAGACGTGCTCAAGTACGTGACGAGCACCCCACGAGCGCCCCTTTTGGGCTTCTCGCAGTTGAGTCCACGGTTTAGCATCCGAGATGGAGGCGAGGACCAAGAGAGGCTGCCAAGTACCAGCACCTGTGTGAACCTGCTCAAGCTGCCGCGTTACAAGAAACAGGAGACACTGAGGCAGAAGCTGCTCTACGCCGTTTCCTCGGGGGCCGGGTTCGACCTCAGCTAAAATGACGTACTGCTGGAGAGGCAGATTCGCAAAGGGCAGTAATGATGTTATGACACATGAATTAGAGCAGACCACGGATATTCTAGTGTAATTTTATTGTTCTAAGCTTTGTTGGTCCCATGTGTTTGCGCCACCTGATATCAGTACAGATCTACAGATTAAACCTACCGGCTTATTCAGTAAGCCCGTCCACCCGTAGGGGTTTTTTTTTTTCTTTTTTTCTCCCCATCAAGTATCTGTCTCGATCTGGATACCTTGGAGATCAGAGAATTGCCAGTTTAATCATATGCGCTTAATTATCTACATGAATGTAATCACAGTACGTACTACTTTACTGAGAGGTTCGGGCGCGTCGTAGATGCCTCATTGCCTCATCTATGAATACCGCACGGGTGGATTTAAACTCGTACTGCTAGCTTCGCGGGAATGGACATTTTGTGCGTTTAGCCACACCATCATACTCCCCCCGCATACGTTCATCTGTATCACTGGTAGCTCCTCTCAAGGAGGTGCGGCTTCCTGTCCCTGAGATCCAGTATCATCTGCCCAAAAAGCCCATTGGCCCAGGCGAACCTGCGCGGTGACAGACATAGGTTAGCGGTCTCGTTTCAATTGATCACTCAGGATATGTGCCCCCTTTTTAGGCTTACCAAGACCGAGTCCACTGTGAGGCGTCATGGCTGTTCACCGACTCGTGGATGAGACCAAGCCCGTTCGTGGAGCCAACGAGCTGACGCAGGCCGTCAGCGATCTCGTCGTCGTCATCCGAGGTCATGAGTTGCGCAATGAGGGCCATGGGCCAGGCGTTGCCGGGCCCGACATGCGGGCCGCCCGTGGCGTTGAGGACGGGGCCGCGCATCTGGTAAGGGTTTGAGGCGGAGAGGACGAAGCGGCGGGTGTTTTGGTAGACTGGGTCCTGGGCGGAGAGGTAGCCGTAGTGCGGGGCGGAGAGAAGGGACGGGATGTTTGCGTCGTCCTGCGTTTGACAGTTAGCCTGGGGCTATCTCGGACGTCGAGGGAAGAGAAGAGAACAGAAGAGAAAGCGGGAGGGCATCCAGCACACTAACCATGTTGTTGTGGCTGCCGAAGCCGTCCACTTCGTACGAGTAGATCTCGCCGTACTTGGGGTGCGTCGTCTTGCCGTGAGCCTCGATGCCCTCGCGGACGGTGGCTGCCGAGTCGCGCATGCGCTCGGCGAGGCTCGTGTCGATGGCGTCCATGATCTCGGCGCACGAGTCAAGGTAGCGGGAGAACATCATGTTGGCGGGCACGAAGAGCTGGTAGATGCAGCTGTCGTCGCTGGGGCGGAAGAAGCTACGGACCATGCCCGTGTCGCCCTGCGTGGGCGCGCCGTTGCCGTGGTTGGAGAGCGTCTCCGAGGCTGAGGTGGTCTGGCGCTCGAAGAGGGCGGGCGACGGGTTGAGGGTGCCGTCGGCGGCGTAGGTGCCGGCGCGCAGGGCATCCGTCGTGTTGAGGAGGACGGCAACGGCCTTGGACCAGTTGAAGCGGGCGAAGAAGTCCTTGTCGGCGGTGGCAGCATAGTAGTCGTGGGAGAGCTGGAGGAACGCGGCCAGGGAGTCCAGCTCGTATCTGATCTGGTTAGATGTCATAGGCGCGTAGGGAGAGAACGGAGGACGTACTTGCACTCGAAAAATGAGTAGGTTGGGTATGCCGGGTATATTTTGTCGGGGCTGCCGTTGCTTGTGGGAGGCACATTGGATTCCTCTGGTGGCTGGAAGGCATTGCAATGGGGTGCGAAACGGACATAACGAGCCTGCAAGTTGATGGCCCCGCGGTAGAGCGCGGCCAGAGACCCTGCCGAAGAGTTGCGCTCGAGTAGGGAACGGTAGCTCTGCAGCTGATTACTGCTGTCCCTGAGCCATTCGGCGTTGATGTCGCCGGTGATGATGAAGCTCAGCTCCTCCTCTGGATCCTCACCGGCGAACCCGGTCCAGGCTATGGTGGTGTCGAGTGTGTTTGGGAAGGCGTTCTCGAAGAGCCGGTACAGGTCCGGGTCTTTTATGAGCGTCTTCATGTCGGAGATGGTCTTCTCGACTTCGGGAAAGCTGGCCGTCCGACATTCCGGGGCAGGACGTTGATAGGAGAGCTTATGGACGCCCTCGGAGAAGGGCTCGTGGGGAGTGGCGGCGTAGTCGGTGAAGTGAGGGCAGTTGGGCTTAAGAGCTGCCGCCGCCAGACCAGCAAAGGCGAGACCATACAAAAGGGCCATGTTCAAATTCGAGTCTACGGTGTTCACGACCACAGGAAGTCGCGATGGATGGCCCTCGGCGGCGAGGGCATGCTTATAAGATGGCCGGACAGCGTCAATTACCAGTGATCATGTTCCCTCTAGGTAGTCAGGATGAACTACGGTTCGCGTAACCTTGAGATACGAGCGGGGAAGTGAGCGCCGATCAAGATGCGGGGGGGGAAACGTTGTAAACGGAGACTAATTTATGATGTCGTCGTATTGCAGGAGCGTATGATGTCGTTCTCTCTGTTAGCGTTCACGGCGCGGCCGGCATTAATATGGGGGAGATGAGGGTGGGGCAGAGAGAGAGAGAGAGAGAGAGAGAGAGAGAGAGAGAGAGAGAGAGAGAGAGAGAGAGAGAGAGAACTGAGGAAAAGAGGACCAAGGAGATGCTGCGGGTGGAGGAACAAGACGACGAGCATAACGTGCAAGTCATGGGCTACGACGCTGTTTTAGCATCGGGAGGTTCCAAGGCGGCAAGCATATGGCCCAGAAGCTCAGACCATGAGATTTGTTTGAGCATTTTCCACAAGCCTCAAGAAGAAATGCTAGTTGTGGACTGCTCTCAAACGTGATGAAGGCGCTTGACGGACAGGGAAGCGCCGGCAAAAGTTGAGTAGGTAATGGAGAAAGGTACTTGAAGGAAGGCCAATGATGAGGAGAAAGGAGGGGCTGGAGACAAGGATTCTCCGCGTCTTCCTTGAATCTCGAGTCAAGCAACGGCAGCGACAAGGTACAAGGCGTCGGTGAGCCCCTTCCCACTGCCTCTCGAGGCATGCATTCATTTTGGTTTTTGGATGGAGGAGGTTTACCGCCATATAGGTACCTAGCACTGAGTACTAGTAGTGTAGGACAGAACAGCCGAGTGAGAGTTTGCTGGAAGGAAACATCGGATTGTTTAGGTGCGCCTTCAGACCGTCCGAGGAGGGGTACCGGTAGTACCGGTTGGTAGAGGAGACGAATGACGGCGGGTCAAGGGTCTCAGGAGAGAGGACGACCCTGCCAGGCCTTTGTCGGAGAATTCCATCGGTACTGACTGTTTCCGAGCAATTACCCAGTTAGGAACAACGATCCAACCGGCACGAGTTGCACCAACTTTTTAACCTTAAAAGTGGTAGTTACACAAGAAGAGGAATAAACAAATAAGCATCACTGGGTGGCTCTTAGTTCCCGGTGCCCGGCCGTCACATTAACTGCTTATAGCGGCTTTCCTCCTGCGTGTGGACATGGCATGCTGTACTGCAGCTACCTAGGTATGTATATATATCCATCAACAGGTATCTTGTTAAACTACCCAACTTATCCAACTACCTCGAAAACATCCGGCCAAGCATGCTTTTCTGTAACAGTTTGGGCTGTCAGCCGCATGTAGTGTAGGTACTCGGCGGCACTCACGCCGCTTCCCAATGGAGGCAGATCAGTTAGGTAATTACCCAGTGGCGTCAATGTGGTAACTATTTCTGGGCTGGCAACAAAACAACCCCCGCCGCCGAGACATTTCAGGAGGCGGAGGCCGAGCCCAGCCCAGCCCAGCCCTTACCTTTGTCTCTCTGTGTCTCTGTCGCTCTCGCTCTCGCTCTCCCTCTCTCTCCATGCATCGCCGTTCTGCAGACTTCCTAGTAGGCTGCGCTTTTACCCTTCTCAGGGATAATACCTGTACACGTGTTCTATCAGCAACCCCTTCTGCACCAGGCGTATTGAAGGCTCGAGCTTTCCGACGCCTCGCCTCGCCTCTCATCTCACCTTTTGCCGTCGTACTTGCTGTCGAATCCAGCCTTAAATGCCGGCTTGACGAACTAGCCGTTGGCCGGATTCTGTTTACTCTGGCTTGGCTTGGTCGACTATTATCATAATCCGCTCCGGATAGCTCACCAAACGACATCATCCAAACCGACTTCTTCAACCACACTACGTCCGATGCATATCTTGGCTCTCCATTAAATATTCACTGACGTATCCGGGTCCAGCTTCATTGCCAGCTGCCGTGCTTCTGCCTGACGTCAACAGATTTCGACTGAGGAACCCTTGACATGACTGATAGAAGCACCTGTCATCATTCAGCATACGGCGTCTATTCCATGGTTCTGGCAGCATCTTGGAACGTACTCCTTCCAGGCCGTCTTTGCGCTTCACTACTGGCCTCCTGTCAACCGCACGCCCGATATGGGAGTCTTAGTCCCTGCTACCCGCCTATCTCGACCTGTGCGGCTGTTGATCTTCGCTGCTGTCTTCGTGTGCCTGTTCCGTTGGTGGCCTTCGGAATCTCGCGGTTTCTCTTCTCTTTTCTACTCCGACTTGAACCCAGGAGTCCAGCACGCTATTCTGAAATATGTCGACCCATTAATCGGGACCATCAACGGAGGTCAGTGGAAGCCCGAGTCGTGCTTCGACGTAGCTAGCTGACGATCCCAGGCCATGTGTTTCCAGGTGCATCTCTACCATATGGTTGGTGTCCCCATCGCCGTTATTCACTGGAAGCCATCTTGCTCTAACACTCACGGCTAGGGATGGCCAAGGCCTGTGCGGACACCGATTCTCATGCCGAAAACGCTGCAGGCTGGGTCTCGGACAATTCAAAAATAACTGGCTTCTCTCATTTGCATGATTCTGGTAAGTCCTGTTCTATCCCGTACGTGGCATCCTCTTACTCATGTGTGCAGGAACCGGCGGTGTGAGATGCCCTTGTCCATATTGGAAGCATCCATCAGCATTGCTGACCCTCGTATAGTCACCGTCTCTGGGCAATTTCCCGCTCTTTCCTCATCCCGGATGCAAAAACGATGACTACTTGGCATGCAAGTATACCAAAGAGCAAAGAAGCCTGTTCCGTGTCAACGACTCAGTCGTCGCTCGCCCGGGCTACTTCTCTGTCGATCTCACAAACACTGTGCGTGCCGAGATGACGGCCAGTGAACGTACGGCTCTGTACCGCTTCAGCTTTTCGCCCAATGACACAGTATCGTATGCCGACACAGCCAACCATGGCACCATTGATGCAGTGAGCAGCCCTCTGATCCTCATCGATCTCACGGATATTGCCCAGAGCAGAACCAGCGGTGGCATCCAGGTGTACGAATCGGGCCGTGTCATCGGAGATGGCATGTTCAAACCTTCCTTCGGCCAAGGCAACTATAGGGCCTTTTTCTGTGCTGATTTCCGAGGGGCCACCATTCGCAAGTCTGGCGTTTTCGAGGGCGAAAATCCTCGCGAGGACCCAAAACATCTGGCGGAGTTCACCCGAGGCATCCACAATCCTACCGGTGCCGCCGGCGCGTGGTTGCACTTTGAAAGGCCCAAGAACAACCAGATTCTCGCCCGGGTTGGCCTCTCCTTCGTCTCCGTTGACAAGGCTTGCCAGAATGCCGGGAACGAGATCCCATTGTTCGATTTCGATGGCACTGTGCGTGCTGCGGAGTCAGCTTGGAGCGAGAAGCTCTCCGTGGTGGAGCTCGATACTGCGGGCGTGAGCGAGGACATGAAGACGACGTTCTGGTCTGGTCTTTACCGGAGTTTGCTTTCACCTCAGAATTATACTGGCGAGAACCCTCTGTGGGAGTCGTCCGAACCGTATTTTGACTCGTTCTACTGCATCTGGGATTCCTTCCGAGCCCAACACCCACTGCTCACGATTGTCGATCCGGAGGCACAAACGCAAATGGTTCGAGCCTTGTTAGATATCTACAGATTCTCCGGCAAGCTCCCAGATTGCAGGATGTCGTTCTGCAAGGGCTTCAGCCAGGGGGGCTCAAATGCCGACGTTGTGATTGCGGACGCCTACCTCAAAAACATGACCACCGGCGTGGACTGGAAGACCGCATACGAGGCCGTGGTTTCCGATGCTGAAGGTTTGTGGGTTGCCATGACTAGCGAGAATGACTTTCTGACCGGCATGCAGTTGCGCCGCAGGATTTTGGCGTCGAAGGCCGCGGTAACCTCGAAAGTTGGTTAGGGCTGGGATACATCGCACAGGACCACATGGACAAGGTGTCGTCAGGCCCGAATAGTCGCTCCGTTTCTCGCACCGTCGAGTACGCCTACGACGACTTCTGCATCGCCGAGATGGCGCAAGGACTCGGCCACAAGGACGATTATGCAAAATACATGCAGCGCAGCGCTAATTGGCAAAACCTCTGGAAGCCTGATGCGCCAGATATCGTGGTGGGCAAGGACAGAGAGGAGGTTGAAAGAACAAAGTACACGGGTTTCCTGATGCCAAAACTGGTCAACGGCTCGTTTACACAGCAAAACACGCGCATATGCTCGCCCAACACGGAGCAGCATCTGTGCTACTTCGACACGGCGCAGGCAACGTACGAAGGCTCCCCATGGCTGTACTCGTTCTTTGCGCCACAGGATATGGCGACGCTGATCTCGCTCATGGGCGGCCGGGAAGCGTTCGTCGACCGGCTCGAGTATTACCACAGCGGCAACATCGTCTACATGGGCAACGAACAAGCCTTCCTCACGGTGTTCCAGTTCCACTACGCGGGTAGACCCGGCCTCAGCTCACGTACTACACGGAGCTACATCCCGTCGCAGTTCAATGCTTCCATCAACGGCATCCCCGGCAACGACGACTGCGCCATGGGTGCTTTTAGCGCGCTTGCGATGATGGGGTTCTTTCCCGTCGCGGGGCAGGACGTATACCTGCTCATCCCGCCCTTTTTCCCCGAGGTACGGCTCAAGACTCGAGGGGCCCAGCCCGCTGTGATCCGAAAGGTCGCAGTTGACGACAGGGAGCTGGCAGACGGCATTTACATTCAAAGCGCCACCCTGGACGGGAAGCCTTACACCAAGAACTGGATCTCGCACGCGTTCTTCTACCACGGCGGAACTCTGGAGCTCACGGTGGGCTCAAAGGAGGGAGATTGGGGCACCAGGGACGAAGATGTGCCGCCTAGCTATCCTGCTGCACCCAAGACAGCACCGCCAACCCGGACATTCCAGAGCTGAAGAGAGTGCGCGGGGAGGGGGCGCAAATATACAAGCAACAGCACCATTCACAAAGTCGAATGGGCTTTGCCAGTCATGATATGGCTGTGCAGTATAGTTATCGAATAAAAATACAAATTAACAACAAGAAACGAACCCCCCCCCTTCCTGTTCAATGACAAAAGGTAAGATCGGCTAAATGCTACGCTATGCCGACGGCAGCTTGACGTCAGGTTCCGAGGCGACATGGGAGAGCCCCAGGGACCATTTGAAATTTGGATACGGTGATTGGCTGTTTGCGGCCAGATGCCCCAGACGTTAAACTATTTCCAGCTCCTCGCCCTCTACTACCGGTACGTAGATGCTTGGGCCCCTGCTGCCCATGGACTGGCACGGCTTGTCCCACTTGGTTGGTACGGAGGTACCTTTCAGCTGCAAAAAGGGCATCCAAGGATACCGAGTCTCTACCTGCTTCTATGACCTTGGCTCGCTGCCTTCTCAAGTACCGATCGAGTACATTGCGCTGCCACCGGTTTCTCTCGGCTATCGCCCACTGGCAAAACCATGGCCCGAGCTCGGAGAAAGAGAGAGAGAGACTCGTTCGCATTACGCATTCGAGTACCGCAGACGACGACGACGAGCTCTCGCTAGGAACCACCCGAGGCCCTGGCTTTAGTGTTAACCGCCACTTTTTCTTCACGCTCTCCCCATCCGAAGCTCTTGCCACCATTCCTCCAATTGACCAACTACAAAGTGCCGGACGGCAGAGGAGAGCAAGTCGAATTGCGCCTGCGTCTCTAGCTTCACGATTTCCGCGTCCAAAGACCTTGACGCTTCCTTATGCAGTAGTCCGGTCCTCAAAGGGGACGAAACCTATTTACCCAACGACACGCCGTCACACAACCGTCTTCACCGTCAATATGAACACCTCGGCCTCGCCTCTCGCAAGAAATCTGCAGCGGAGCACGCGCAGTCTCTCAAAATGTCGCTTCCGCCCTACAAGGCCCGCGCAGGCCGGCCTCGCCACCGCCTCCAGAACAAGTACCACAACCACTGCGAGAGCTGCCGCGACCACTTTACCCTCGGCACGGGGCTCCGCCGTAACCTTCTTCAGGCCGCTGGGTGCGCGCACATTCACGACGAGCAGGACGCGGCGCAGCGACCAGGACGAAAAGTTCGACCCGGCAACCATTGAGCGAGAGTCGGACGAGGTCGATGTAGTCATCGTCGGCGGCGGTACGGAGTTTCCCTTCTCCTCCTCTGCTTTTGGATGTGGGTATCCAAGTCGAAGCTGACAGTCTTCTCCTGCAGGCCCCGCCGGACTCAGCGCCGCGATCCGGCTAAAGCAGCTCGCCAACGAGGCCGGTAATGAAGACTTCCGTGTCCTCCTTCTCGAAAAGGCTGGCGAGATGGGCGCCCACATCCTCTCGGGCGCCGTCATCCAGCCCACCGCCATTGACGAACTGATCCCCGACTGGCTCTCCGAGGACAACCCGGACCGTTTCGAGTACGCTACTCCGGCCGGCGGTGACCGCATGCGCTTCCTCACCAAGACGTCGGCAATCCCGCTCCCGACCCCGCCGCAAATGCACAACGAGGGCAACTACATCGTCTCGTTGAACCAATTTACTAAGTGGCTCGGCGACCGCGCCGAGGAGCTCGGCGTCGAGGTGTACCCGGGCTTCGCCGCCTCCGAGGTACTTTACAACGAGGTCGATGGCAGCGTCAAGGGTGTCGCGACGAACGACCTCGGCCTCGGTCGCGACGGCAAGCCCAAGGACTCGTTCGAGCGCGGCATGGCGTTTCACGCACGCTGCACGCTTTTCGCCGAAGGGTGCCACGGCAGCCTGAGCAAGCAGGTCATCAAGAAGTTCGACCTGCGCCGCGACAGCCAGCACCAGACGTATGCGCTCGGTATTAAGGAGGTGTGGGAGGTGCAGCCCGAAAAGTTCCAAAAGGGCTCCATCACGCACTCCATGGGCTACCCGCTCTCCAAGGACCTCTACGGCGGCGGCTGGATGTACCATTTTGGCGACAACCTCGTCAGCATCGGCTTGGTCGTCGCCCTCGACTACGAGAACCCGTGGGTCTCGCCCTACGGCGAGTTCCAGAAGATGAAGCATCACCCCATGTACAAGGAGGTCCTCGAGGGCGGCAAGTGCCTGACGTACGGTGCGCGAGCGCTCATCGAGGGAGGCTTCCAGTCGATCCCAAAGTGCGCCTTCCCCGGCGGCGCGCTCATCGGTGACTCGGCCGGCTTCGTCAACCTGCCCAAGATTAAGGGCACGCACAACGCCATGAAGTCGGGCATGCTCGCCGCCGAGGCCGCCTTCACGGCGCTGTCGTCCGAGAGCGCCGGCGAGCAGGGCACCGTGTTCCTGTACGACTACGAGGACAAGCTCCGGGAGTCGCCCATCTGGAAGGAGCTGAAGGAGGTGCGCAATTTCCGCCCCTCGTTCCACACCCCGCTGGGTCTGTACGGCGGCATCGCCTACTCCGGGCTCGAGGCGTATGTACTCAAGGGCCGCGTCCCCTGGACGCTAAAGCACAAGACACCGGACCACGCGGCCACGAAGCCCGCCGACCAGTACCCCAAGATCGAGTACGAAAAACCCGACGGCAAGATCTCGTTCGACATCCTCACGAGCGTCAGCCGCACGGGCACGAACCACGAGGAGGACCAGCCGGTGCACCTGCAAGTCAAGGACTGGGAGAAGCATGCGGCCGAGACATGGCCCAAGTTCAAGGGCCTCGAGAACCGCTTCTGCCCGGCGGGCGTGTACGAGTACGTCGAGGACGACACCAAGGACCTCGGTGTGCGGTTCCAGATAAACGCACAGAAGTGAGTAACCCCCGGCCAGCCCATGCTTCAGGACCGCATGGCGACGAGTAACGCATACAAATTTTTGGGCAGTTTCAACTAACCCGCAACACAGCTGCATCCACTGCAAGACGTGCGACATCAAGGCGCCGCACCAGGACATCAACTGGCAGGTGCCCCAGGGCGGCGAGGGTCCCAAGTACTACATGTCATGAGTCGGGCCTCTCTTTATCTCACACCTCTCTGGCAAACGTACCTGACCACAGACGCAATCAACATCAGAGGAGAATGACTAGTTGAAGGGGATGGGATCGGCAATATAAAAGGGAAGAAGGGATCATTAATCCTTCTGCAATCTGTCTGCAATCAGCGTCGAGGGTTGGCGGTTTGGTCGCCAGACCATCGAGACAGAAGAACAGACCACCGGCCCCATGAAAGATTTATACGATATGTCAAGAGGAGGGAGAGAGTATTGTAGGTATAGAACGCGTCAAGACAAGTCGATGACAAGGGAGATTTTGTATGCTCGGAACACACAGAGCACCCTCCGCTGCCAAACCAATATCCCAACGTTTGCCATACTTTCCTCTCTTCGGGGTAAGCACGTGGGCGCGTACTGGAAAGGGAGGGGGGGGGGGGGTTCACAGTAGCAAATAAAGAACAAACATATTGCTAGTAGTATACTATTTTATTTTTATTTTTTTTTTAAAAAAGGCAGTTCGTGGTGGCCTTTCGGCCGGGCGAACGGATATTTGCAACTAAAACGTGCTGGCTAGCCGCCCCGGACAATTTGGCAATGAACACATACCCCCCTTACGATCCAGGGCGGCAATGACGACACAGATTCCGTCGAAGGCATATCGGACGAAAAAGGTCTTGACACCTCGGCACCCTTCCTCCCCCACCCGCTGGGTGTTGCCGCGGCACTGAGACACTGCGCAGCCTTTTTGTGCGTTTGAACTAATACCGTACCTATAACATGCACAAGTATGCGGCGGCCAAGAGCATCCCTTCATGGACCCTTCCCGATCGGAAGCAGTCTCCGACTGGGAAGGAATGGGGGATGGGAAGGGGGGAGACGATATCGGAGACACGAGTGTGTGATTGCGAGACACTTGTAGGGTTTGGACTCCATGCGTTAGGCGAGGCTGGAACGGGACAACATGGCAAGATGGAAAGAATGCGAGCCTAGGCATGTGTTAGTTACCCCGGCTACCCGTGGCTGGCGGTAGATCAGACGCGTGTCAGCCAGCAAGCCAGCCAGCCAGCCAGATCGACTCGCGCAATTGCTTAGGGGTTTCCCCCCCCCCCCTTCTTCACGTCGTCAGGCTTGCGGATGCAGCTGCCCAATGCCCATGGCGCAGCGCAGTGGGCAGCAAAGTTCGAGCGTCGCCATGGGTGGAGGGAGTAAGACAAGGAAATTGATGCGGCTCTGAAGTTGAAGCTAAGTGCATGTCGCGAGGTGAACAAGGACGAGCAACTCCGACGAGGCTGGCGGGTTCCCATGTTTGAAATTGCATGAGTCGCAACCAAGATGGAGTCATGGCATGCCCGCAAGGCCGAGGTGCGGCCTTCAAACCGAATGTGGGAAGCGACAAGCAAGCCAGCAAGCAACCACTAGGTTTCTCGCTGCGAGCCAGGCAGGCTTGTTTGGCTTGCTTGCTTGGCCTCAGGTTGGGGAAGGCCCGCACGTGCATGAGTCGCGCTGGCAAAACCCGAAACCCTGGGGGAAGTACCTCGACTTCGGGAAGGATCCAGAGGTACTTGATCGTGCACGGACCACTACTCCGGCCTCGCGGGAGAGGGGGGGGGGAGCTTGGTATCCGATACCTGTCCATAAGATTGCAGTTAAAATTTGCATCTGCAAACGAGCTGCAGGCGCCCTTTCTGCCATTACGGCGAAGCAACACCAAAGCGTCGTCGGGCTGAGGTCAAAACCAAACGGAACATAAATGAGCACGTAGAGCTCGAGAGGCATCGTGATTCCGTATTGCAAGACCAAAATACTTACTTACGGCATAGCTTCATTTCGGGTGTCAGATAGCCATGGGCACTGGGTGGATGCCGGCAGAGTTTTCTCGGTCGAGAGTCTGAGGCTCCATAGGTTTGCGTGCTACACATGGAACGCGGTATGGCGAGGCTCACGTACTGTGTGTACTGGGTAGGCCTTTCTGGTGGGAGGGAGATGGAGGAAGGGGGGGGGGCGAGCGAGGAGCGACAAAACACGCACCACCTGCCCAGCCTTTTTCTATGCTTTTTCGATTGGCCCCCCTGCCATGGCTGGCACTGGCCGATTGGAACCGGTCTAGAGTCAATGACTCACACGTCGCAAGCCGTCTGGTTGATGCGACGGCCCATAAAATTCCTGCCAGAAAGCCGTCAATGCCCGAAAGCAGCGTAGACGCCGCGAGAAAAATGTGCCGCTTTCGTGCTGTGGTGCTGCTGTCGAGGGGTCATGACCAGTTCTTTTTGTTGATTGTTCGTTCCGTCTCTACGCCGTGTTATGATGTGTCGTGTCGCGTTGTGTCATGTCGATTCGTCCGTCCGGGCGGGCATCCTACAACGTGGTCTGGTGACCATTCTGACATATTTGACGGCAAGGCCGTGAAGCTGATCCTGCTGCCGCTGCCGCAGCTCTGCACTGACAGACCTTGTGTCGGTGCCGATCGTCAATGAGGCACCAAGATAGGGGGGTAGAATCAGCGTTTCAGACAGCTAGCGTGTGCTTAGAGAGTGAAGGAGGAGGGTTGGAAAAGGGGGGAGGGAAAACCTTTTGGTTGCTGGGAGGATGCAAAAATTGTTAGGAAAAAGAAACGAAAAAGGGGGAGGGGCAAGCAAAGTAAAGGGGGTGAGAGTGAGGGTGGGATGGAGGGGATCGGGTCGGTGCCAGTCCAGACCAACCAACACCAGAATGGCTAGAAACTGTGGGTGCGGTGCAGCTGCCAAACGGACTTGAGTGACGCGGCAGGCTGAACAAGAGAAAAGCCGGAAAATGAGCTGCATCTGGCGTGGGAGGGAAGAGAAGGAGGCAGAAACGACCAGAATGGTGGAATGGGTCGGCATTGTGCGTGGGTAGTAGCGTAGCGCTGGGCGTAGCGGCACCCATACGAGGTAGAGCCGCCTGTGGGATTTGCATTTGGTTGGCGCTGGGTTGGTATCGACCAGGTCCACGGCCGATTGCCTGGCTAGATGGTGGTGATGGACAGTGAAGAGTGGATTGATTGGCAGGGCACGCCTGAGCCCGTCACCGTGCCCTAGAGCGAACAAAGACGCGCCATTGGATTGGGTTGCAAGGCCAACCCGTCGTCACTCTCCTGTCAGATTTCGCTGGTTTCGCGATGGTGCCGGCAGGGTCGCTCGCTGTGCCGCGACGCGTCGTGTGCATGTGGCGAAAAGTGACAGAGAGCATCGCATCGACGCCTCTTGACGACGCGTGGGTGGGAGAGGAACAGAGACCACGGACTATACGTCGAAGGAGAAAGGTTGTAGTCGGAGTGCACGAACAGAGCCAGCCTGTGTTGTTGATGGTTTGACAGAACGACGAGGAATGATTGTAGGGTGACGGCCATCAGGGATGAGCCAGGCAAAGGGAAGCGATTCGAGTCACATCTGGGGGAAAAGGGCAATTATTGGAGATCGCAAAGCTAAGAAGGACGCGAGAGCAGGAGAAGGGGGGGGTAAAAAACACTAAGCAGGGCAACTTGGAAGGGAAAAAAAAAAAGAAAAAAAAAAAAAAAGGGACGATGGTGGGTGATGATGACATGGACCCATCAGAGAGCATCTCGGTGGTAGGAACCAGGTGTCGGAAGGGAAAGTGGCGCAAGGAGGCGTGGCAGGAAAAAGAGCCACTGACCAGTTGGCCACAAGCCCAGAGGAGGCAAGGAAACGGACGTCCAGCACTGGCCAGCCAGAGTGCACTGTCGCAAAAAAGAAAAGCAAGAAAAAGAAAAGGAAAGGAAAAAAAGAGACATAGAACTCCCATGGATATCGTGATCAAGTAGATGGACCTGGAACGCGGTGCCGAGGTACTTCAGGGGCTGGGTGGTTGCAACAGGGGGACATGGGACCAGGAAGGAGATAGAATGAGAGGAATGCCGCATTTTGATTGGATGCATTCTCTTAGCGCGACCTCTAAGCACAGGCAGTGTCAAGCAGGACCAACAGCCACGGCGCACTGGCTGCCTGGGGCCCCTGGGGGGTGTGCCAGGGGGGAGGGGTCATGGTTGGGGCGAGTGCGCAAGCGGGCGAGGGCCAAAATTATAAAGAGGCAGGCCTCCCTCCAACCCGCATGTTTCGAAAATCTTGCGCGGAAGCTCCGACCGACGGCCTTACGTAGTCATCCACTCACGTTCGGCCTTTCTAATTTTCCTTCTCCACCCCCACCCAACCCAACACCCCAAATCTCCAATCACGATCTTGAATCGTCATTATCGCGCACCCACCGCCTCATCATCATCATCATCAGACAACGACACGCATCTGCTGTCACAGCCTCTCTCTCCCCATCGCAACCATCGGGAAAAAATCGCTGTTGCGATTCTTCTGTACCTTCTTCCCCCAACTAACGACGGGAATCTGTCAACTCTTCAGGGCACCTGGTGGACTAGCTTCTTAGCTGAAGGCCTCCCCGCATATCCTACCCTGAACGAAACAAGAGAGGACTGGAATACGTTCCTTTCAAGGCATCCCTTCGTTACACATCTCGCGCGATCCTTTCCGACGACGACCAGGTCGAGAACGAGTCGCTGCACCTTTGTAGACATCGCGCATCTTCGTCGACGAATAGAGACGCAAAAAGTGCACTGAACCGTGACGAGGTATTCCCAGACGTCGAGTTGATTCGTGGTAGGGTCATTTGCGCCTGTCATCAAAGCGACGCCTACGACACCCGCCACCTCCTCGTCGACCTACCTCACTTGATCCATTTGCATCGCATTCCCGCCGCTCTTGTAAGCCCGGTATCGATCGCATTTTCATCGCATCGCAAGATTCTGCAAAACCTACCTGTCGAGCAGACATTGTAGGGGAGACATTCATTTGTTCATCTCCCACATCTGGTACGCATTCTTTTTCTTGGCTGTCGTCACTGGTGTCCTGTCTTCGCACCTTCCTCCACCGCTGCCTCCTGCCTGCCCAGCCCAAAGCTGGTAATATCCGACGCTTATTGGCTCCTCCTGTCTTGCCGACCTACCAAATTCCCATTCCCGACGACCTTGCCTGAATCTCTTGGAAACACATCGAGCAAGATCCGTTGCGGAACACTTTGAACACTTCAATATCACCAGTTCTTGGATTACGCTCTCATTTGACCATACTTCAGTACATTTGCTATCACAATATTCAACAACCACTAACATCCCCTGTCTGGCTTCAGATCTGCTTTCTACTCCTTCGGTCCTTGGTCACCCAGCAAACCGCAAACATGGAGGCGATCCAAACCCATCCTGTGAGCGCTGCTCAGGCAAAGGCCTTCACCGCTCCCGGCTCGCTCTCATTCCCTGGCGGCGCTCACGAGCTTCCTCCCGCTGCGAACGGCGATAAGACGGCAGCCAACGGGCAAGCTCCCATTGCCAACGGCCAGCAAGTCGCAAACGGTACCGGGGTGACTCCCGCGACACCTGCCGCGACGCCCGCTGCCACGCAAGGTGGCAGTGGCTTGACTCCTACGTTGCAGTATGTATACCATGAGTGATCTCTTTTTATCGATCACTGAGGCTTATCTCGCCCACTCTCAAGGAACATCGTTGCGACGGTCAACCTCGATTGCCGATTGGACCTCAAGACGATCGCCCTGCATGCGAGAAACGCAGAGTATAACCCCAAGGTATTATTTACCGGTCGAGTCTACATCATTGCTACGGTGCTGACACTCTTGATCCATAGCGTTTCGCTGCCGTCATCATGCGTATTCGCGAGCCCAAGACCACCGCTTTGATCTTCGCCTCTGGCAAGATGGTTGTTACTGGTGCGAAGTCTGAGGATGATTCGAAGCTTGCATCGCGCAAATATGCGCGTATCATCCAGAAGCTGGGTTTCAATGCTAAGTTTACGGATTTCAAGATCCAGAACATTGTTGGCTCTTGCGATATCAAGTTCCCCATTCGTTTGGAGGGTCTTGCTTCGCGCCATCACAACTTCAGCTCTTACGAGCCAGAGTTGTTCCCCGGTCTCATCTACCGCATGATTAAGCCCAAGATTGTGCTGCTCATCTTCGTGAGCGGCAAGATCGTTCTCACCGGAGCCAAGGTCCGCGAGGAAATCTACCAGGCCTTCGAGATGATCTACCCTGTGCTTCAGGGTTAGTACACACACTCTCTCATATTGCGTTCGTTCCACTAACAGGCTTCTAGATTTCCGCAAGGTTTAAACCACCTGAAGCTGAAGAGGGATCATCGACCCGCGTCGATTTAGCATCCCCGACATCGCCGACTGTATGATTAGATACACACTTTCTTCACGATACCACGATTGTTTTCCCCCACGCACCATACAAAAAAAAAAAGCTCGAGCGACGGTCACCTGGCAACCTAGCCGTGACCTACGTCGCCCTCGACACTCGTACTTGTTTTCTCTGATTTTTTCCGCTGCATTGCATTGGCGTTGGCAAAGGTGGTAAAACCTGGGCAGGAGGCATCTTGCCAGGTAGTTGATTTAAACGAAAAGAATAGGATTTCTCGCACCGCAGCATTACATAGACTGCTCGCGGCATCGTCGACGGCAGATGCGCAGGTCGACTTTGCTGTTCTTTAATGGAAGCGGCTTAGATGGAAGGGGGGTTGTTCAAGAGGGTAGTGGAGTGGCAATGAAGACGATACGCGCGACGGAACTCGGGATGAAGTTAACGCAGCTTTCCGGACAGTTGGTCGGGAGTATTCAGGGGGCGTAAGGGGAGGAGGGAACAGGTCTGGTGCCAGGTCACCTGTCTTTTGGGTGCCCTATCCGATCACTCGGTCTTATCCCTGCTATTTTCTTGATTCGCGGGTTTGATGCGAGCTGAGAGGTAGGCATTAGTTGTTAGTACAATGCCATAACCTGTTTCACTAAAATCTGTTTGGTCTCTAAGTGACAATAAGCTTTCGAGATGTCCACGTGTCTTGTGTCTATGGTTCTGTTGAACAGTTTGTGCTATGATGTTACAGTATTAAGACTCCTAGGTTAACCACATCATTCTACTGATATTCTACGGTATTTGTGTTTATATATGGTTATGTTATCATGATATACGTCTACAACTTGGCTTGCTCTTGCTTCAGCAACAGGCCAGGGATGCCACCTCTGCTGCCATCCTCGGTCATGATGTGCTCGTACAGATCAGTCACGCCCGTCTTGGTTTTGGTCTCCCTCCACCGCCACTTCTCGGTGAAGACCTTGTCACCGCGCCCCTCGAGCACGTTGACGATCTCGCGACCTAGCACGGGTAGGAACTTGAAGCCGTGGCCACTGCCGCCCGTAGCGACGAAGAGGTTTTTGGCCTCTGGGTGGTGGCAGACAAGGAAGTCTCCAGACTGGGTGTCTGTGTACCAGCACAGCCGGGTCTGGGCGAAGGGGCGGTTGTGGATGGCGGGGATGGGCACGATGGTGCGGACAGCCTCGCGCAGGGCGTCCTCGCCCTCCTTGGGGAACTTAAGCCTGGGGTCCGTAAGGTGCGTGGCGGGGAGGGAGACGGTGGACCCGGCTGAGGAGGGGGCCGACGGTGAGGGATGGGGGATGGGCGTCGGGTTCAGGTAGCCGAAGGCGTGGCGGGCAACCTTGAGCTGGAGGCCGGCCGGGGGGATCATGAAGAGGCCGGTGCTGAAGTTGAGGGTCACGGGCATCTTCCGGAGAACCTCGAGCTCCGACGGGGTGATGTCGATGTAGCCCACCGCCTGGCCCGTGGCGATGGCCTGCCCAGATAGGTCGATGAGCCGGCCCGTCCAGGCGCCGGCAGCGACGACGACGAGGTCGGCCGAGAGGACATCGCCGTTGTCGAGCGTCGCGCCAGTGACTGTCCTCCTATCGGGGCCGTAGTTCAGGTGGGTTGCGGTGCCTGACACAAAGTTGACGCGGCCAAGAGCCTGGACCTTGGCGGCGAGGTACGACATGGCGGCGCCGGCGTCGGCCCAGCCGGCGAGGGGGTTGATGTAGCCCCAGGTCCCCGGCGCGATGGGGGTCCCGAGGAAGTCCTTGATGGCGGCGGGCGTGGGCAGCTCCCTGATGATCTTGTCGCCGTCGGCGCCCGCGAGGGAGACGACGTTGCTGTAGCTTTCGCGGACGTACTCGAGGGACGTCTTCTTGGCCTTGCGCTTGGCCTGGGCGTTGGTGTTGACGGTCCGCGGCGGCGAGGAGGCGGCCAGCGGGGTCGGGTCGGCGACGAGACAGAGGCCGGACTGGCTGTAGCGGCCCTCGGCGCCGAGGTCAGAGGGGTGCTCGGTCTTGCGCCATTCGGTCTGGGCCTCGGCGGCGAGGCGGGCGTAGGCTGGGTCGGCGTAGTCTGCGCGGATGATGCGGGAGGAGTCGACCGAGGCGGCGTCCTCGCTGGGGCCGGGGACGGGGGAGCGGTCGAGGACGGTGATGGTCGTGGACGCGTAGCGCGGGCGCTGGGCGAGCTCGTACGCCGTCGTGAGGCCGAAGACGCCGGAGCCGATGATGAGGATGGAGGAGGGCGCGGGCTCCTCCGCAGCCGCTGCTTGGTCGGGGGACATTGCGTGGTGTATGTGGCCGTACGTTCCTGGTTCGTGTTGTGCCGTCACGCTGGGTTGGGCGAGGGAGATGACACGGGGAATTCTTTTATCGGGGAGTAAGGGGAGGAATAAAGTTGGAAACGGGGTTCAAAGGGAAAGTGAGAGAGACGTTACCTGAAAGATGTGCGTAGGATAAGGATGGGATCAGGATAGCACGATCGTGCTGGCGGTGGGCCACCGGACAGGCGTGCTGGTTGGGCGTGGTGCATTATCGGATGATAGAATTTTTTTCCTTTCTTCCCCTTCCCCCTCTTCTCCTTCCCGAGTGACAGTCGGTAGTATCTCCCGGCTCTGGGGTAGCCTCGCGTCGACTTGCTGGTTTGTCGACATCTGGCGGGGTCACCTTAGTCGGTGTACCTCTGCATTGTAACTTTTTGGTTTTTTTTCTTTCCTTTTTCATTCTCCTCTCCCCCCCTGCGAGGAACTGCCGGGGAGTGCGGGCGCTTAGCGTGGGGCTGGACGATGACCTTTTGACGATCTGTCATGCCACCAAGCACCGACTGGGGGGTGGCTTTGGCTGTCGAGCCTGCGATTCAGAACGACATCCGTGGCATCGGTTAATCCGAGTAGGTAAGAGAACTGCCACTTCCTCATAGCAAGAAGAGATGTTTGGCGGTGGGGTTGGGTTTTGCGATTAAGGAGGTCGCGCGGGTTTATCCGCACAACAGTTGTGTCGAAGTTTGGCCATCTTGACGCATGCGATGTGTGAGAGTCTTTGCTGTTTATAAACCTGCGACGATGCCTCCAAGGAGGATGGGGATGTTCGGGTTTGGGGGCGATGGCATCCTTGTCCGACTGGAGGTGGCGACAATGAAGACGGGAAAAGCAGGTCTCTCCCTACGGTCCCATCCATGGGCGGTTGATGGCTGACGATGCCACTCCTGCTGTGAAGCCTTATGGATAAGCTGAGACGGCATGCTGTCATGCAACTAAATCAGGCCCAATGGTCTAGAGGTATGATTCGCCCTTCGGGTTTAAACACCCTTCAGCGTAGCTTGAATGGGCGAGGCCCCGCGTTCGAATCGCGGTTGGGCCCCTGATACTCTTTTTACTTTTTTAGTCTGGATCCATATCATCTTACACACCTATCATGATTCCTTCCATTCATTGATTGTTACTAACTACTATGGATGAATGGATGGATGGATGGCTTGGTTGGTGCTTCAGATTAGTACTCGATCAATCGCATCGCTCTAGTTAAAGCTAGCAAAAGACTTCAATTGTCGTATTTCCATTTGTCCTTGACCCGCGGGTTCTAAACAAAGAAACATCGTTGCAACCTGAACCCCTTCTCCCCCAAACCGACCGTATGAATGGACATTTCTCCCGTAATATCCATACCGTGCGGGGCCATCGTCACATCCCCGCTTTCAGCTGTCCCACGCCGTCTTCCCTGTCTCAAACCACCTCTTGCTCACCAAAACTTCTTTCACAAACATCTCGTTAACAGAAATAAAAAAATAGCCGACTACATAAAAAAAATAAAAAAATGGTGAGGGTCGGACTGCTGCTATAACTCACTGGCAATCCGATGGATGCTGACTTGCAGCTCGACAGGCCACCGCAGCTGGGTTAACCGAGGAGCAAAAGGCGCAATACAAGGAGGTGTTTGACCTCTTCGTAAGTTCTCACCCTCTCCGCCGTGTCCGCCCAAACTTACGCCTCTCCCTTCTCCCCAACCAGTCTAACTTTTTGCTAACATGAGATATTAGGACAAGGATGGAACCGGTTAGTTCTTTGTTTTCTTGCGAACCTTTATTCTGCTTCGCCTCCTTCCATGCCATAGGAACCTCAACCCTTTTACCGGAGCGGAAACCAGAGTGGCTTAGACGTGTTCCATCTCATCTTGCTCCACGCGAGCTCTTGTCACTCTTGCATATGACAGACGATCCATCCGATCATAAAAACTGACAGGTGCTCTTGAAGGTGATATCACCGCCCAGGAGCTGGGTGCCGTCATGAGGTCTCTGGGCCTCAACCCCAGCGACACGGAGCTGAACGACATGGTCAACGAGGTCGACGCTGACAACAACGGCTCCATCGACTTCAACGGTTAGCAGTGATCTCCATCAAAGATTTCTATGTGCGCGTGTTTGCTGACCTCGAGCACAGAATTCCTCAACCTCATGGCGCAAAAGGTACAAGTCGGCGATGCCGAGGAAGAGCTCAAGAACGCCTTCAAGGTCTTTGACCGCGACGGCAGCGGCACCATCTCCGCCGAGGAGCTGCGTCACGTCCTGACCTCGCTTGGGGAGGACATGACCCCAGCTGAGATTGACGAGATGATCCAGATGGCCGACAAGAACGGCGACGGATCAATTGACTGTAAGGACCAGCCCTCTAGACTTTCGTCAAACGAGGACATCGTGCTGACATGTGCGCCAGATGACGAGTTTGCGTCGATCATGATGAGGGAGTAAATAAACAAAAATAAAAAAAGGCCCATCCATGGCTGGGATATTCATCGTTCAGTGTTTCTTGGTTTTCTTTTGGGGTTTTATACTATGATTCGGTGGTGCAGGTAGAATGGATCTGCTTTTGGAGCAGCTTCCGATATGCGTCTTTCTTCCGCACCCGAATCTCATTCTATCGATTCCAGCTTCAAACATCGCCCGCAGTCCTCACTTGCATTTCCTAGAAGGCCGAGGCCGGTCCACGCTGACACTCCAGTTCTCTGACAGCAAATGTATTCTCGCTAATATGTTCAGCATGCATATTCGCCCGGTTTCCAAAACATCCGCAGACGCGACGACAACAAGACCGTCTTCCACTCGCATCTGTCAGATAACCAACGGCACAGCTGCGCACAAATCAACAGCCAAGGCAGCGTTGTTGACGTACGCCCCGCGCGGCGCCCCAGCCGACGCACTCATGGTTGTGAAAGCCGCTGTACCTCGGGCCGCGGTCGTGGTCCGGTGATCGCCCGATGTGTCTCCAAGATCGGCTCTCGTAGCCGGGGGCATGCTGGGCGTCGTAGTCTCGTCGTTGTCTTTTGTTTTGTCGTCGCCCTCGCGGCACTAGCCGCCTTCTACGCAGATCTGCCCGGCGTCGCAGTAGTTTCCGCCACCACAGCACACCGCATCAGAGGGCATGCACCTGGAGCCACAAACGGCCGTGCCTGGATCGCAGTCCGAGTCATCGTCCGCGCTACGGGAACATAGGTCGCCCGCGGTGCACGTTTCTCCCTCGTCGCAGTTCCCTCCATTCGAGCAGCACGCCCTAACTTCGGGCATGCAGCGGTCGTTGCGTTGTACACTGCCGGCGTCGCATTTTCCGCCGACAGCAGCGAAGTTGACGGGGAGGCCGTAGCGTGAGATTCTGAGCGAGGGCAAGGAGCCCAGGTTTTTGAGGGTTGGTGCCTCTTCGGCCTGGGCCGGGATAAGTAGGATGCCGCCGAAAAAGGGAAGGAAGAAGGCAGGGAGCATCACATCGGGTTCTCGGTCTCCCTCCGCACCTGGTGTTGATGTTGAGAACTACCGTATGGTCCTAAAATGAGGTGGTTGGAGACTTCTTGCCCCTTCGAAGCGGAACGAATAAAGTACATATATATACGCAAAAAAGGGAGCACCTGGCACAGTAGTATTTAAGCAAAAGTAACAGACACTGGGGCTCGTTGAACCAGGCCCATCCGTTACCAATGCTTCGGAACGTGCCGTCGAACTGGCTACAATTTGTAGTTGGAAACAGTGGATTTTGATCCCCGATCTTGCATTTGCGAGGGCTGTTCGCGGGTCCGAAGCGGCCGGATGAAACGGTTTGGGTTCGTGAACATATATATGTATATATGTCTTGACGGCATTTCCCAGGCCGAATCGACGCCGAAAGCAAAGCGCTTTGATGACTATCGGAACTTTATTGGCAGCTCATTTTCACTTTCCAAGAAGAGAGCGGGTGGGGAGGCGTTGCATGAGACGTGGTACGTCCTCGTGCGTGCCACCTATGCAGTCGATTGATTCAGTAAGCCATCTCTCGGCCGAGATGGGCCGACAAGACAGACCAGCTTCCAAAGCGGATTGGCATATCTGCTATAACCAGACTGAATGTCGATTGCTCAGGGATCGATTTTCTGTGAGCTGCCAGAGAGTCAGATTGATGTTCCTGGTGATGCCAAAATACCTCGCCGTCAACGATCGCCGGCAAAATTGAGACTATATGACAAGACATCCATACGATGGGGCAACATTTGGGATTTCCGATCTGTCGCCTAACGGCCCTCAGCATCTCTTATATGTGCCTTGGTGTCGGAGTTCAACTTGATTTGCCAGAGAGACAAATGGCGACGACTTACATAGGGCAGGGCGGCCGGCTAATCCTAGCCGGCGCCAGCGTGTGCGCTCTCAAGTCATTCATAGACGAAGAGGAAGAGAGAACGGAGGAACCGCTAACTGATGGGCAGTACGCCAGCGCATGAGCCAAGTCTCAACAGTCGGCCCATCTTCTCTTGTCTCTCGGTGTCGGCGCCATTCCATGTCTTCGTCGCATGAGTCCGCCAAGTATCATGATGGGGTGATGTGGTCATGGGCTGGCTGTATGCTGAACTGCCCCCAAAACAGCTGGGCCACTTCTGCATTGAAGTGGCCTCATTTTACTCTTTACCAAGCCATCTGCAGTCTGATGACATGTCCTACTGCCGCTGTCGCCACTGAGGAGTATCTCGTGTATTAGACAATCTTTGGAGGGGGGGTGGGTTCCTCGCTCTGCGGCGATGTCCTGCGGGCATCCTGTCTAGTAGCAAAGGAATCGTACCACATGGCACTATGCACCGCGCAACACGCGAAAAACTCGTGCGCGTGCGCTCAGTAGATTAGCGGCTTCTTGGTAGAAAGCTCATCAGTGATGAGACATGGCTGCTGACGTTGGGTCTCGGCTTCTGCTGGAGCCTGACCGTGAAACCGCAGCTCAAGATGTCGTCTGAGATGAGGCGTTGGCGCAAGTAGCGATGTTCAGGAGCGAGGTGGACTCGGAGTGGGAGGGGATGGGGGTACTGCGAGTAAGATGTCATGTATGAGGGCGAAGAAGACAATGATAATGACGAGAAATGGGAAACTGCAACGCGGACGGCAACAGAAGATGAAAATGGATGTCGATGTGATTTATGTAGTCCTACAAATCATGCGTGCTTTCCACCAGCTTTGCCTTCTGATGATGAAAGTATTATGTTTCAAGATTAGGAGGTCAAGTATCTCGCAGCTAACACTTCATGAGGGCCGGACTGGTAGTTGAGTCGGTCACGATCAGCGAATACCTGGTGTTGTGCAAACGGACCGGGGGGGGGACTTGACGAAGCGGGACTCTACTGGCTTGGACCTTGCTTTACCGCTTCCAGCAATTTCGTGCCCCCTCTAGAATACACAATAGCATGCTGCATCAAAGAAGAGCTTGGTACTATAGCTCCATACGGACCCAACCTCTTCGTGATCCCAACCTACATCGTTTCGTGCTACCATGTGCACAATGTCTTGTCCCAGAGAGTGCCAGAGTGGAATACAGACTAGAGGACGGGTCAAGATCAAGGAGGTGACCAATCTCCAAAGATTTCGTTCCAGACAGGATCGATAACGGCCAAGACTAGAATGTCTCTGGAGAAGTATAGAAAAGATTTGGTTAGAAACAGCGCATTCGATGATGGTACATACTACCTTAGTGTGCAAGTACCTAAGGTAGGTTAAGCTGTGTGGCTTTCTCCATGCACCCAGCCACAGCGGCATGCGTACAGTCTGTTGCGTTAGCAGCGTCCAAAACCTACTTTTTAGTCTATGCGTTAGTAACACTATTATAATAACTACCCTAGTTAGGGTTATATAAGGGGGTTACCTTACTAAGTGGCTATATACCTTTAAATTATTTTATATTATATAGATACTATAGTATAAATAGCTTTAATTAATAAGCTTATTACTATTACTGTTTAATAATAGCGCTAAAAAAAAGAGAAATACTACCCCTAGTAGTATAAAGGTATTACTAGTACTACTAGCTAATAGTACTTAAGCCTATAAGGCTACCTATAAAAGATTATTATTATATATAGTTATTAAGTGCCCTATAGTAGTAGTAATAAGGTTAATAATAGTTATTAAGACACTATAAAAGCTAGTAGTTACTATAGTAGTAGTAAAGAAATTAATAATAACCTTTAAGATACTAAGAAAGTTAGTAAAAGTAACTATTAATAAAAAAGAGGTTAATAATAATAATAATAATAATAATAATAATAGTAATAATAGTAAGCTTACTAATAATAATAAAGAGCCTATATAATAGATGCTTTTTACTTTTAACCCTTTTAAAACACTATTATAAACTTTATTACTATTATAGTAGTAATAAAGGGTAACTATAGTAGTAGCTACCTTTTTACTACTACTACTACTAACTAAGGTAATAATCTATTTTACCTTTAACCTCTAGTTTAATAGTATTACTATACTATAAGTTTAGCCCTTTTAAATAGTATAGTAGTTAATAAGTTAAGTATTAGTAAGTATAATAATTAGGTTAAAGTAAAAAAAGTAGATCTTAAAGAAGATAAAAGAGTGCCTTTAAAGGTAACTTAGTAAGTAATACTTACTATTAAAGTTATAGATAACTATTAAGTTTAATAAAAAAAAGAAAACTATAAGGGTAAAGAATAATACTTACTATAGTAATAACTTTAGTAAAGTAGGTAGTAAATAGTTAGCCTTACTATAGGCTAAACTTAGCTTTTAACTAAGTAACCTAGGCTACTAGACTTAAGATATCTTCTTTAGTATAAAGCTTATATACTTTACTAGTTTATCTATATTAGTATTTAGTATACTATAATTAGTTATAAAGTTAATAAGTAAGTAACCTAACTATAGTAAGTACTTTAACTATAGTAAGTACTCTAACTATAGTAAGTATTCTAACTATAGTAAGTAACTTAACTATAGTAAGTAACCTAACTATAGTAAGTAACCTAACTATAGTAGCTAGCTATTATATATAAAATTATTAAAAAAAACAGTAATAAGTTTAATAAAAGATAAAATTAACTAAGAGAAAGATATAAAGAAGAACTTATAGTAAGACTTAATAAAGTATTATTAGTATATAGATTAAGTAAGTTACTATAATAATAATAAGGTAAATAATAATACTAACTAGTGTTTAGTTATTAATAAAGTCTACTATAAGTTATTTACTAGTAACTTTAAAGGTTAGTAAGATATAATACTTTACTATAAGGTAACTTTAAAAAGCCTACTACTAGGCCTAGTAGTTATAGTTACTTAGTAGTAATTAAAAAACAAAATACCTATATAAGGTAAAATTATAGGGAATTTACCTTTTATAGTAGTAGTTAAAGAAGATAAAAATCCTACTAGTAGACCTATATTACTTACTATAAATAACTTTACTAGTAATATAGTAGTTAATTTATTCTTTAGTAGTAAAAAAGTTAACTTATATACCTAGTAGTAGTATTAACTACCTTCTTACTAGTAGCTATCTCTAATTTAACCTTATTATTATTTACCTATTACTTTATTAATTACTTTATTATTAGTACTATAAACTCCTTATATAGTAAGAGAGGTTAAAGTACTATTATTATTACCTCTATAACCTAGAGAGTAGTTACCTATAGCGTAGTTACTAGAGTTAAGAGATTTTACTAGCTAGTTTCTTAAAGTTAAAGGGTAATAATAAGGCTACAAAGGTAGTACTAATATAGCCCTTTAGTAATTATAAAGCTTATTATTAAGTCTAGTAGTTATTTAGTGTATACTAAAAGAGTAGTATAAAAAGAAAAGTATACCTATATTCTTTATTAATACTATATAGAGGTTAATTAAGACTTTTCTATTTACCTAATAGTATTATAAGTGTAGTAAATATAACTTTACTAGCTTTAACTAAAGGCGTAAATTACTATATATTACTAATAAAGTTAATAAAGTTAATAATATTAATAAGCTTCCTTTTATAAATACTATAACTAATAAAGTAATAAGTAACCTTAAGAGAGAAAGATTTAGTTAGTTAAATTAAATCTAGTAGTTATAACTATACTAACCTCTGTGTAGTAAATACTCTTTTTATATCTTTACCTTTATAATTAAACTATTTATTATTACTTATTATCTATATAAGTTAATACCTTTTTAACTTTATAATATATAATAAGCTTAATAGTAATAACTTTAGTCTTAATAAGTTATATAGTAATAAAGCTAGTAACCTAATATAAGTAGTTAATAATAGGTTATTAATAAATTTATATAAAAGTAGTAAAGGGTAATATAATAAGGCTAGTAGTAAAAGTTTTTAAAGGCAAAAGGGGTAAATAAGGATAAAGATAGGAGATAAGAGATAAGATATAGAAGTGTTATATTATTATAAATATAGAAGAGCTTATAGATCTAACTATCTAACTAGACCTAGGGATATAAGGGGATTACTTATACTTATCTCTTAGGTATTCTAAGGATTTCCTTAGTATTCTAGGTTATTAAGTAGGTTATTAGGTAGGTTATTAAATAGGTTAAGTTATAAAGTATTATTTTACCTATAGTAGGGTATTATTTTATCTATTTACCTTATGTAACCTAGAACTATATTCTTAATTCCTTAGAGAAAGAGGAGGTCTTACTTAAAAGACCTATTCTTT